CGGATTCCCTCATAATAATTGTATTCATAAATAAACATAATAATGAAGATAAAAGAAGCAATAATAATAATAATAATAATAAGCATTACATCTTGGATGAGTTCTGGGTTTCCACTTCGTCGACAGTACGCACTAGTTGCATGTCGTACCCAAGACTCTTCAGGCACGTCTTGACAACGCGCTGCATAATTGGCGGGCCGCAGATGGCCACCAACAGATCTTTTGCCGGCGGTTGTACGGATGAGCTCAGAAGCTTCTTGTCAATGAACCCAACGCCGTCAGTCCAAATTGGTGGAGGGCGATTCAAAACAAAAATACTGCGAAACTTTCCCTTTGAATCTCGCTGGTGATGTTCAAGCAGTTCGCGGTACGTGAGCTCCGAGACATCTTCGGCAGCGTAGATGAGGCGGATGCTCTCGATATTTTCAAGGAACGGCTTCTTGAGTGCGGCACGAATGATCTGCAGCATCGGTGCCACACCTGTGCCGCCGGCAATAAGGCAAAGTTTTTTCAGCGCATGGCCTGAAAAGTACAAGTATCGTTCGCTGAAACGGCGCTCAATCACCAGGCCACCGCAACCTTTCATCTCCACCGCATCGCCTGGTTCTAGGGCGGAAATCCACTCCTTCAAAGTCCCCTTGTCACTCCTCGCCAGGATACCAATGACGCCAAGATCGTCCGGCAATGTGATGGGGCTGTAGTACCCAATGAGCTGCTGGCCATCCCACTCACCGCGGATGGCAATAAACTGGCCGAGTTGAAGCCCAGAACGCTGCAAGGCACCCGGAAGGTTAAACCGCAGCACACGAGAGCCAGTTCCGTACATTCCACCCTCCCGCACCTCGCGCAAAATCACTGTCGTCCAGGTTTTAAATGACAGCGGCACAGGTTTCTTCTGCAGGATTGTTGCGGCACGATCCCCAGCAATGCGGCCAAAGACGACGCATTCCAGCAGCGAATTGCCACCAAGCCGATTTCCACCATGCACTCCGCCCGTCACCTCGCCCGCACCAAACAAGCCAAAAATAGGACGGCGATGGCCAAAGGGAGAGGTCGTGTTTTCTTCCAACTGCATCTCTGCCGAGGGCGAGATGAGGCAGCCGCCCATTGTGTAGTGGATCGACGGCGTCACAAAGGCAACATAAAAGGGACCCTGCGGTCCCACCACACACGGGTAGACAACCTTGCGAGTCTTAGGGCATTGACGGTTTTCTTTTGAGAGCTGCTCGTAGTCCCCCAGCGTATTCCGCACATTCTCCACAGGGCATCCAATGAGTGCCGCAAGCTTTTCCACTGTGTCAGCCTTTACAAAAAGACCAAGACGCTTCCAATAAAAGCCGTGGGAATTCACGCCGAAGAGCTTCACCGCTGCGTCATTGAGCACACAGAAGGCAAATTTGCTACCACCTGCATCGGGGTATTCGTCGCCCTGCTCAATGATGGCGTTGGAGACCACGGAACGGAGGTCAAGCTCATTGACAAACCGCTCACCCTTCTTGTTTAGCAGGACGCCGCCCGACCCACGCAGCGCCTCCGGGCCAAGGTACTTGGTCGGGTTTGCGGGGTCTTTCGGGTCGATGAGGCCTGTCGGGTGAAGTTGTACCTTGTCCATGTCGACAAGCTTCACCCCCAGTTCACGTGCAAGCTTGACGCCGTCACCCGTGGCCCACGGTCCATTGGTTGTGGGGAAGCCGGACAACTGCGGCGCAAACTCCTGGAGAAGCGAGTTGGGCGTCTTGTCATTTGAAAAGCCGCCGGTGGCGAGAATGACGGCATCCGCCAGTATCCTTGATACCACCCCCTCGTCCTGCAGTACTTCCACGCCGTACACCCTCACCTGTTTGGCACCATCATGGCGCACCCGGGACTTGCTCAGCAGTGAAGTGACAGTAGTGTTTTCCATGATCGTCACGCGATCCGCCAGCTTCGTGCGAACGTGCTGCTCAAGCGTTTGCATGATGGTGAAACCAATGGGCACAGGAGTGCCGTCTGCCTTATCGGGGGCACGGTGCGTGCGCTTGCGGCTGTGCCCGCCAAGCTGCGAAAGCACTGTCAGTGGAACGCCAAGCGACGAAAGCCAAGAAATGGCATCCCCGCTCTTTACGGAGAGTGTGCGCACCAGACCGGGGTCGGTGCTGCCGCCGAGACCCGATTTGTGCGTATCGCGCTCAAAGTACTTCCCGCTGTCATAGACATCCTGCTCTGCCTGTGCGCGTGTGCCCCAGCCATTGATGCCGGACGTTGCCTTGGCGCTGTTGCCACCAACCTTCGGTTCCTTCTCCAGGAGGATGACTTGGGCTCCGCAGGCGGTGGCCTCGATGGCTGCAGACAACCCGGCAAGACCACCACCCACAACAATTACGCGTGCAGGAAGAGAACCGGCAATACGTTTTTTGCGAATCTCGGCGTTATCAGTGGCTATTTCAAACATACGGGCTACGCGTTCGCCCTGTCGTGTGTAGGTAACGTAATTCGTGACGCGATTTCGCACGTGACGCCAGTCCTCCAACATTTGCCGTACTTTTTTAATGTCACGTTTGATGAGGCTTGCCGTTGCAAGTGCGTCAGCGTACATTGCGCTGTAGCACCTGATGGAAACCTGCGCCAGTTCACTTTCAACGGGCTCCAGCAGACTTCTCTTTTTCCAGTCAAAGATGGAAGTGTAAAGCTTCTTGTTGGAGCCTTCTGTCAAGTTCTCGTAGTCCCCACTCGTACACAGAGCCTCATCGTTGAGTGGCAGGACACGGATATATGAAGGGTCTTTTGGCGGATTTCGCAATTGCTCCAGGGACGGCGGGCGAATAATGCCTACCATCCATGGTGTGCGTCGCGCGTTCGTACCACTTGCACGACAGTCACCGCCCCATTCAAAGTACACATCGACAATTCCAGCTGCGTTTAACCTCTCCACGACGTAGTCCACTATGTAGCCCTTGCTCACACCGCCCAGATCAAAGCGAGCATCTTCGTGCTTGCGGGCGATGGTGCCCATTTCCAAGTCAACGATGAAGCTGCTGGAAAAGTTGCAGACCCGGAAAAGCTTCTCCATCTGTTCATCCGACACTGAGGCTTTCTCTGCAACTTTGGCACGTAACGCCTCAATGATTGGTCCAGTGGCAGGGTCAAACACCCCACGGGAAGAGTTAAAGACGTGTTGACAGCACGTAATGACACTCTTAAGCGTGGCAGACATCGTGTGCTTTTGACCAACTGGAAGCCTGCCAATCATGGAGATCTCACTGTTGGGGTTAAAATTGTTCAGAACGGTATCTGCAAGATGCCAAGCGGAGCGGAGAACTTCATCCGCTACCTCTTTGGCGCGCGAGAAAGCAACCGCCTCTGCAACAACCTTCAATGTGAAAGGCACAGTGAGCTCGAGGCCGTTGGTCATGTATTGCAAGTGTGTTTGCAAGGGGCTGTCCCGAAGAAGGGCACGGGCCGCCTCATCCCTTTCCCGTGCGGCCTTCTCAGGATCAACAGCAACGACGGAGGCGGAAGATCGACCGTCTGCCATTTCTCCTTCCTCTGGAGTGCCGGCAAGTAATCACAAAAAAAAAAAAAAAAAAAAAA